CACGCACTGCCCAGCCACGCACTTGCTGCCGAAGGAGCACACCGTGCTGCCGCAGGACTCTGTGGGGCGAGAGCCGGGAACCGCAGTGAGACGGCGCAGGGACCGTCGCAGCCAACTGCCCGGTGCCACGGACCGCCGACGCCGTGCCCTCGGAGGCAAGGAGAGCAGTCCTCCTTCCCCAGAGCCCTTGGTTATGGCTTATTTAAACCTCACAAAGGCTCTGCAACGGAGAGGTGGCAGCCCTGAGCACTTCTGATTCCCACCAGCACCCATGGGTGTTGTGTCCAACGGCTTTCTCTAGGACACCAGTAAGAAATCCCATTGACTCTCACGGGGAGCTCAGCCTCCTCCTGCTCGCAGTGCCCGTGGAGCACAAATGCAGAGAGGATCTCCATGCACAGTTCAGCCCTGGGACACAGACCCAGCCGGACAGGTTTTGACGCTCAAAGCATTGCTTTCGCTGTAGCAGCATTTGTCCTCATGAAGAAGCTAGGCTGGGCTTTTAACTCATTAAGAAATTAGCACAGACAGTTCCCTGTGCTGGGGCGTGCGGAGGAAACACTGGAGCAAAGAGGAATTAACCCCAGGGGATGGAGGGAAGGGAAAGCTACTGAGATGAACTGTGTGATCAAATAGACCCTCGATGCTTTCAGCTCTGGTGGTAGCTATTAACCTGTTTTTAGCCCAATTTCTTTGCTTGGCTCAGTAGACATCAGCCCAATGTCTTTGTTTGGCTCAGACAAGTCACAAAGAGAGAAGATGCCACCTACGCTGCATAGCTGAGGTTAAAAAGGAGAAGCTGCTTGAAAGACTCCAGGGAAGACCACGCCAGACAAAGCAAAAAGCCTCAGGCAGGGTCTCCGAGTGACCAGCCAGGATCCGCCGCCCAGGGCCGGGCTGCTGGGTGTCCCTGGGCAAACCCCCTTACTCTGGAGCTGATCTCCTCCTGGGAAGTCCCAAAACCAACCAATAAAGGCACCGGGAGTGCTAAGGAGACCCTCCACACATCCCAACCCGGGGGTTTCTCAGGTGTCTCCCAGGGTTGGCAAACCCAGGGGCTGCGAGTGCTACAAACGACCGGTGAGCCTCGGGCGGGCGGCCGGCGCGGCTGAGCACCCGCTCCCTTGGGCAGCCACCAGAATGTTCGCCTGCTGCGTGCACGCCCGGACGTGGAGCTCGCACTCACTGCCGTACGTGTTGCCGTCCGTGCCGCACACGGGCTGAGCGGAGGGGACGCACTCCGTGGGGCACACGCACCGCCCCGTCTCCGCCTCGCAGATGGCCCCGAACTGGCACTTGCCACAGCGGTCTGCGCAGAGGAACAAAACCAGGAGGTTAAAACAACGGGTCAGGCAGGCACCGTCGCCTAATGAAGTGCCAGAGCAGGAATAAAACCCCGCTGCCACCTCCTCGCCCCGGTCGAGCCCCTGCGGACACCGGCAGCCTTGTCGGGAGCAGCAGTCGCAGGGCGCAGCGGAAGGCTGTGGGAGGAGGGAGAGCCCGGCTCGGTGGCAGAAAGGCAATAACTACTCATAAAAGCTGTCAGGGCGAGGAGTAACCGTGATGAAATGTCACCGGAGCTGCACGCTGTTACAGCTAAATAGGAGGTGGGAGAGAGCACGGGGCTGAGTGCAGTTCTGAGGAGCAATAAATCAGTCCCAGCCTCGGGAGGAGGAGCGCAGCAGCAGCCCAGGCATCTCCTGGGGCAGGGAGGCAGCGGGATTCACACCAGGCAAGCCGGCAGGGCAGGAGGTGGTCGGCTGGGAAGGGGGATCTTGCCTTCCCCTACGTTATCGGGGTGCCAGCAGTGCTGCACAGACGGCTAACGCAGCACCCATTCGGAGCGCCCTGCCGCCTCCCGCAGCGGCATCCTCCGCCCGCCCGCTGCAAGCACACGCGCAGCGCACGCACGCAGGCTCGGGTCAGAGGAAACGTTCGTCTTCGGAATAATTCACTTGCCAAGGAGCTATCGCTCGCTGCGGGAGAGACCGCACTCCAGCCAGCACACCTCCCCTCTCCCGGGTATTTATTACAGCTTCATTTTTTCTTTCAGGCAAACACCCCTCCTCCCTCCCCACCATCCAATTCAGGAAGAAATTGGCTCAAAGATGGTTTTTCTTATTTTTCTTTCACGCGGCAGCTGCTGCCTTTGCATGGGGGAGGGAAGACGCAACAACCCCCCGCTCGGTTCGTGCGGGCTGTTGGCCAGGAGGTTTCTATCTACGGCACCAAGCTTGCAGCCAGCCCTGGGCTCTGCGGGCTGGGAGAGCGGCTGCGCAAGGCAGTCTGCGCGCAGACCGGGGCTGCTCTTTCCTACACGGCACTGGAGTGCGTGTGCCCGACGGACGAAGCGCTCGCATCCTTCGCCGTCTCTCCTGTAACTGCTTTGGGCTGGTATCAGCATCTTCTTCTGATGTGAACCCCACTGAGCCCTCTGCTATGCCGCAGCGGGGAGCTCTGCGGGTTGGAGGGGGTCTTCCTTTCCTGGAGGAAGGGTCTGCTTTTCCTCTGCTGTCTCAAAGCCCTGATAACTTAGGAACACGTTCCCCAAATAGCACTGCGCAGCACAGCTCAGCAGGGTAAGGACTGCAAGGGGTTAAGCCCAGTTTTAACACTGCTATGCCACACCAGCCCTGGGTGGAAAGCTGGGCACCAGCTCCTGATACCCAGCCTGAAGGTTCTGGGCAGAAAGACCATACCTTGACAAAACCACAATATGCTTAGCCCTACCCAACCATCCCGGCAGATATTGTCCTGGGAGAAGCCATCCAGCTCGGGCTCTGCCAGTCTGAAAACACTTTCTGACCGGCAAAGCTGTGCTGGCACAAAGAGAAAGAGCACACAGCTGGAACCGCTGCATACGAGTTGCAACCAAAGCCCAAGGACACCCCAACAGCCCAAGGACACCCCAACAGCCCTATCTCCACCGGCTGGGGCCACGCTTGTGCTTAAGACACCGCCTGCTCCCAGCAAGCAGACCCAGCTGCGGCCAGCAGCAAGAGGAGGAGGAGGAGGAGGAGGAGGAGGAGGAACCCCCAGAGATGGGCTCTTACCGCAGGGCCCCTTGTGTTTCACTTTGATTTCCCTCTTGAGGACGCAGGCCATGGAGTCGAGCTCGCAGGCGTTGCCGTAGGTGCGGTTGTCGCTGCCGCACACGGGGTCGTAGCGGCCCTGGCACACTTGCTGGCACTCGCACACGGCCTCCTGGTTCTTCACCACGCAGGTGGCCCCGAAGGTGCACTCCACGCTCAGGCACGGGCTGGGAGCGCCCAGGTCTGCAGAGGGGACGGCCCAAGCCGTGGCAAACGCGCAGAGCTCCTGGCCTTGGCACCAGCCCAGCCCCGGCACCCTCCATGCCACCCCGACATGCCCGGCTCAGCGTCTTCCCCATGCTTGGCAGAGGTTAGGGATGGGAAGCAGGCACAAAATCTTCTCCCTGCACGCCACGAACAGGACTCGTCTCCTCCATCCCATCCCCATCCCAGCTACGTTCTGCCCCAAGAGGTGGGATCAGCCCCGTGGGTTTCTGCACCAAACCCTGATGTCTGGGTCTCCCCAGCAGCTGCCGGCATCATCAAAACCGAGCATCGTGTGCTGAGGGAGGGTGACACAGACTGAGGCCCCTCGTTGCCGAGAGGTGATCCAGCACTTCTTTTCCTGGGCAGCAGCGGTGCCACGAGCCTGCCGGGGATGTCAGGTCTGAACGACCAGCTCTGTGGCAAAAGGAAGGGCAGGAGGCAGTGGAAAGCCCTCCTCAGCGTGGGTCTTGCTGCCTCCAGGACACTCGCTGCGTCGTCAAGCAGTACCCGGTGCTGGCTGCCAAACCCTCGAGGAGACAAAAAGCTCACACGGGGATAGATCCCTGCACGGAGGCCTCACATCCTCAGAACCACGCTGTCCCCTGAACAGCTCATCCTGATACCTGCTGTGGCCATAGCCAAGAAGATCTGGCTGGAGAGGACACCTGCCTTTGGCTTCACCACACAGCCCGTCTCTCTCCTCTCCCCTCCCCTCCCCAGCAGCTCAGATCCCTTCCCCTCCTCTTGCAAGCTGCTGTTGGAAAGGCCAGGGAGCTGCTGCGTGGCAGGATGAAGAGACCTGGTGTCCTTGCTTCAGCCCAGTCCTCCGGCATCTGGCTCTAGGAGCAGAGCCCTGAGGCTCCCTGGGGATGGGCAATGCCCCGCAGCACGGGATGCGGGCTGAGAGGCAGCAGCTCCCCTCTGCTCGCAAACTGGAGCCGCTTATTCCAAGGCAGCCGAGCAGCTGGCACCTTCCCTGCAAGATGCCCGGCAGCGATGAGGAGAGCAGCCAACCCTGATGGTGACAGCGAAGAGAAAAGGCTGTGCCCAACCCCCGGCACAGCTCTGCAACTGCTCGCAGGGACAGCCCTGCCGTCGCAGTGGTTCCGCAGAATCACAGAATGGTGGGGGTTGGCAGGGGCCTCTGTGGGTCACCCAGTCCAACCCCCTGCCCAAGCAGGGTCACC